ATATTGAAATCATTAAAAACATACCCTCTCGTGTAAAAAGACCAGAGCTTCGACAATATTGTACAGTCCAGCAATAATCTCCACCGTGTCTAATGTCTGTATAACAGATTCCAAAGGTCTGACTGGTTCAGTCACCATACAAAGCTCTTCTGAGTTGTCATAAGACCAAAGGTGCTTTAGAATAGCTGGGTGCTTAAGAATCTTCAGATACTGAAACCAAAGCATTAAATTACTGTAAAAATTTTCCTGTTACATGATTGTACATATTTCTGGCTCATGAGGTTAAGATAATAGGCAGCATAAATGACTGCATTCTGCACTCTTTACATGTAATGGTAAGAGAGAATATTTTAATTTTTTGTAGGAATCATTGCATGTGTCAACTAATTATAATTGCCACCTTTAAATCTTCAGGGAGTACCAAATACAGTCGAGCCTCTATTAAGCAGCCACCTATTAAGTGGCCAGATATCAAAGTCCTGAAATTATTGACAGTAAACTACTCCAAATAAAACCCCTATTAACTGGTCACCTCTATTAAGTGGCCATGGCCACCTTTTGGTCGTCTCTATGAGGGTTTTCTATTGTTCTTACCCTCATTAAACGGGCACCCAAAATTTAATACATGTAATTTAGCTTTGTTTTGGAAAAGGCAGTGAAAAGTAATTATATTAAAGTCTGAAATAGAATTTGATGACCGATAAAAACATTCAAACACACGTTTATCATGGTTGTCTTTACATGACTCCACGTTCACCAAGAAATTAACCTGATAATGAGAAATATTCAAGGTACATCAACCCCTATTAAGTGGCCACCACCTATTTCCCCGAAGGTGGCCGCTTAATAGGGGTTGAACTGTAAAGGCTCCATTGACACCCATGGTAGGGATGGGGGAGGGGGGGAGGGAGTGGCACTCAACAGCTCTTTGGGTAGGGAGGTGCCACTGATCACTCAAATCTGACTCTGCTCAGGATAACATAACACTCTAATTATTCTACCCTATTCAAAAATATGTTCCCCATTTTGTAACAATGCGTTTAAGTTGGCTGCAATTTATCACTCCATTGTTGAACATATTTTTAGGTGCTTGCATAACTTTGTTTATATGGGTCTTTTTCTTAATCAATGTCTACAAAGAATTTTGACAATAGGATATGTTAATAGTCGGCACCCTGACCACCCAGTCAAGCGCTCTGGGTTCAAGCCCTGGTCTAAGTCATTGTGTCATGCTCTTGGCCAAGACACTTCTCTCTCACAGTGCCTCTATCAACTCTTAATATAAATGTACTAGTGTTCTATCATGAATGCCATTGTGCTACTCACTATCTATTCTGTTTTAGTATAAATCTACTAGCATTCTATCACAAATGGTATTCTCTGATTGGTTATGCTACTCACTATCTATTCTCATGTAGATAGTGAGCAGCATAGAATTGTGCTCTTGTTAACAAAATGATGGCCACTTCTCTGCATTTTTGAGGTGTCCATGAAGAGGATTTAGGTAAAATTTTGAACAACTTAGTAGATTTATACTAAAACAATTACATTATTCACTCTCAATTTCTATACATGATAGCTGACTTGGGCTGTGCCCTTATCGACTATCATGCGATAGAAATCTGAAGCTAATAATCTAATTTTAAATACAAGGTCATAAGCACTAGATCACGAGCAACAGAGACATAAGCGGAATTGGTGTTCTGACTCCGTTGGTTTGATTTTCCCTAGATCGTATCACTCTGTGCCTTTGATTATGACTCTGATTATGACTCCATTGCTAGTGAAAACCAGCCTTTTGCCCCCTTCAGGAGAGTGAGAAAATAACCTCATCAGTCAGTATAATTACACAGTACATGTAGGTAGTTTTCAATTTAAGCTTAAATTACTCATTTTTAGAGCAGAATGCAATATTGGGATGGTTTTGGGGACTGCCTGCCAATAGGGCATTAGGGCGCTAATTTACTAAGCACCAATGCACTAAGGTGTAAACTTTAATGTTTGTTTAATTAATTAATTTCAGTTAATTAATTAGTCTAGAGACAAGGAAATGGTGGGGGTGAGCTGGGAAAGGTACACATGTACCCTACGTAAAACGTGTCATACCTACATCAGTTAGGAGTAAATATCGCAAAGCTATATATTTGTTTCAAGTAACCTCTTGCTCTCCTTGTGGTACTATTCTCTTAAGAACAAAACCAATTTGCTCTAAATGCATGCGCAGATTAGTTAGCGTTCGTGTCTTCTATACATTAGGTGGAGGATACATTACATACGGGATAACACACAAATGTTGAGTAGTTTTCCTTATGGTAGAACCCAACATGTAAGAGGCATGCGTTCTAGCATCATAAGTGTTATATACTATGTTTCCACATGGTTTTTTATGTCATGTAATGTCAGGTACTACGTAGCGCCACTTGTCCCTTTTTAATGCAAAAGTTAAACGTATCTTTTAGAATTACCCACAAGTCGGTTCAACAAATATCATCTGCTGTTTTCAAACTACACAGGGTTTAAATAAAGAAGGGAAATGTGAAGTTTCTCATCAGTGGCTTATTTATTTCTTGCCTTAACTGCGTCTGTTAGAGAGACCAAAATGTTCCCAAGTTAGTGGATTTAATATTCTGCAAATTGTAAATTTGTGACAAAAGAAACCAGGAAAGTGCTCAAATATTGCTGCAGACTCTGTGGCACCTAATGAAAGTGCAAATCAATTTAATCAGTCTTTGAGGAGACTCGTTCATTGATGCAGGATAATATCAGCCAAGTAGCACTGTTTACCTTCAATACCTCTTATTGAAATGCTTCGCAGTGGTATCAATCAATATTGTTGTGTGTTAATTTTGAATTGTTTTATTGTTAACAACAAAGGTAACAACAGAAAAAGTAAGTGGTATTCCATGACTATCTGATAATTAAATTAGTTCTTGTTCATCTGTGATAAGAAAATTTGCATTTTGAGCAAAAACAAAATTGTTTCTCTTCCATTTCTTCATCAGATATTGAATTTTCTTTCATTTATCCCCCCAAACAAGCTCATCTTGTGTGTTTTGAAGAAAACAAGAGTTTCGTGTTATGTACCTTTGCGAGGAAAACAAAAGTATCAAGTTACAAAGTTGGCACAAAGAGCTAACTTGTCACGTTTGTTAAATGTATTATTGAATTTAAAATGAACGAAAATCATCGTAAAACACCAGAGTAAAATTTAAAAGCTGTCGTGACAAACAGTAATTGTACATAATTTTCGGACCTTGAATGAAAATACAACCTTGAAACGTACTCATTGTTAAGGGGAAAAGCTCTAGCAGGCTACCAAGGTAGATAGAAACCGGAAGTGAACCGAGCAGGGGTGAGTACTTATGGGACTACCGTGCCAGAGCTATCAATCGCAGTCTGCACTGAGATTGTCTTACTAGTTAATTACCTGCGCTGCTTTAGCAATCCTTTCGTCATTCTTGTTCTTTACTTTCCTACTCTTTTCGTGAACAAATACTGTGGCTTTAAAGTCATCTTGTTTTCTCCTTGCTGCGAATAAACTCCATTCTTTGCTGTTACAATTAACAGGCTCGTCCAACTCATAATCTTCCTCCACACTACATTCTGATCCCATGTTTGTATATCAAAGTGTATATCGATGGTGGCTCAACCTTGTAAAATGAACAAATCCAAGCCACAGGTTGGCTATATCCAAAGCTGATAGTAGATTCTATAGAATAAATCCGTCAAACAACATACTCATTCATTCATTTACTTGCTTGGGAGAGTCACAAAGTACAAAAGTTCAGACAAGTTAGGCCTCGTCCGATCCAAAGAGTAGTTAACAAATTTCACTCAGTCTGCACCAAAACTTGTCATATTCCGCCATACATTTTGTCCACAAACCAGCAAGCTACGTACAACACTCTTTAATGGAATACATGACTGTACTCTATAATCGCGGAAGCCAAAAATTAAGGCGATTTCCCAACGTGTTCATCGTGGAAAAACAACAGTCATCTTTGGAGACGATCGTTGTGCGTTGTCAGCGGATATCTCTCTGTCATGTATGAAGCCCTTTTCCGTATCCAGGTAAAAAGTGCAAATATTTTGAAGGTTTGATGGGAAATAAGAATGTTCAAAATTTCACAAACGCCGACGGAAGGTTAACAAGATGGTCAGGGGTTCAATTGATTCGATCGATGTTTGCAATAAAATTAACATTTTTATCCATGGTTGTTAGAGATGGCCTGGTTTCCTAGCAGAAATCTGGGCATCGGAAAAATTGTCACTTGAAACAAATGGTACATGTAGCAATATGAAGCAAAAACGCTTGCGATGTCATACAGTTGTTCACTATCTCTTCTTCGTGATAGGAAAAAAAATGTGCAAAAAAACCCAGAAAGTTTCCTCTCGCACTTTCACAGTACAGCGGTCAGTGTAAAACGGACATTGCGGACCAGGGGTAAAATGCCAGACTGAGGGTAAAATGCAGCCTGCAGACTTTTAGACTGGATCGTGTTACCAAGCTAACCGTAAACAGGCTAACCGGAGCGTTATTTAGGCTAACCGGGGCGTTATTTAGGCTAACCGGAGTAATTTTCAGGCTAACCGGCCACTGCAGAGTTTCACTACGGTTACTGAGTCTGGCCCCAGTTATATGGTGTTGGGTACCCGAGACAACCCTCCCCCTGCGGCAACTTTAGTTTATCGAGCGTTTATATGTGAGAGAAGCAAAATTTGTGCCCGGAAATTTACTTGCGAAAGACTGCCTGCACTGTCTTCCGAGTCAATTGTTCGGGCATTTTATCGCTTTTATTTTAATATATATACTAAAACCATTTTTTCCCTCAGTCACTGTGGCTAATGGTGGATATAATATCCAACAATAGCCAACTCCACCTCGGGGAAAAATGTTAATCTCCATAGCTGCTACATAGAGGTCTTGAAGGGGTTTACTGATAGCCGAGAACTAGTGAAAATTCTGTCAGCTCAGAAAGGCGTGTTTCTTTAGAACAGATAGCAGGAATCAGAGATCTGTATAATTTACTGATACCTGAGCAATGGACTGAAATTTTAACTGATATCCGTGAAGCTGCCGAACATTTAACCCCTCGCATGAACCGACCCGTTGGGCAGGCTCCACAAATGCTGGGCGTAGGGGGCGGGGGAAGACTGGGGGTAACTTGCAATGGCCTAGCATCCCATCCAGAGGGAGAAGAAATACTCCAAAAAGATTCAGGCTTTGAAGGAACCAAAGCTAACGAAAGACTACGAAGAGACTTCACTTTACTGCTTCAGTTTACTCAAGGAAAATTCAACATTGTTTTTAATAACCTTCTGTCTTTATTCAGCTTTATATATTCCACAAATTTCAATTAGGAACTTGTTATAAATAATACATTTGTTTGAATTACTTGATATAACAAAAATATTTCTTATTTCTTTTATACGCATTAATACGATTAATTTTCTTACTGATTCGTATTCTGATATATATCAAATCTTCTTTTAACTTATGCAGTAATAAATAAACGAATGTAGATTCTTGATCACTTTGTTTTTCCTGATTCAACAGCTCTGATATATTTATCCCAGTCAGTCTCCTGCTCAAATTTCCTGCACACTTCAAAGAGCTTCTTAACCGTCGCTTTAACTTCCACTTTTCCTAAAACGAAAGAAGCATGTCATACAGAAAACTTTCACTATATATCCTAGCATATCAAAACTTAGGAAACCATTTGCTAAACTTGTGATTGACAAACGAATTTTCACTAGTTTTCAAATTTCGCAAGTGTTCTTTATTTGTAACATTTAGTTCAGAGGGCTTCCCAGAATTTTAACTTGCGGTTTCTCTTTGAGGGCAGAGGAAACTGTAAACCTGCACTAAATTGGTTCTTGATTCACAGGCGGGAACAAGAAGAACAAGAAAACATGTATGGAATAAATTCCTAGTTAAAAGAATCAAACATTTCCTTCTTACACTATGTTTAACCAAACGTTCGATCGAAAAGCCGCGACTCAATACACTGCATATGATTTCTCCCTTTATGGAAAGCCTAGGAAACTAAGAACCACGTCAAATTTGTATACATTGTACAGTTTTCAAGATCACAGTTGTTTTATTATTCCTTCTCCCTAGTCAGAACTTCATAATTTTCATTTTTTAAACATGCATTAAGCAACGAGACAACGAGAGCAGGTTTTTATCTGGAGTCGAACTTCGCGCATTGAAAATTGGATCATATTGTCTCAGTTGGATTTAAACATGAATTACCAGTGAGGAGAATTTGCAAGTTGATAAGAACTCACTTGAGGAGGGTGATGACGCTTTCCCAGTTCCCATGACTCTGTGCGTGATGCAGCGAGCTAAAAACTTAAACAAGTCCTGTTTATAAAAGAAACCATAACAAGTCATAACAGAGCTAAAGTTACCGTGCAATAGTGACTGTTACTGGTTAGATCGATTTAAAAGGTCATTTAGCTGAATCCTTTGTGATCAGAGGCAATCTGAATAAATACAAAAGGCGGAAAGTTTGTCATGTATATGTATATCACAAAGTCAGGCAAGGGGAAGCACTTAAACTCACAGATAAACCTTGCAGTACGTAAATTCTAATTCTAGAAAACAAGCAGGCTTCTCTAAGACTGTTATTTCTAAGAACTCGTACAAATCAGCTCTAAACAGTTCATTCCTCTGTTTGATGCTGCGGCCGAGCCGAGAGAAAACGTGTTCGCGAGATAACTGAGACGAGCTTGAGTTCTTCCAACCTCCCTCCAATCCTTTCACGGTTTTCTACACAAAACCCACAAACGCAATTACGTGTTTGAGTCGTTTCGGTTACCTTGGAAACAATAGAACCCTGTTTGAGGTAGGGAGACAAGTACTTGACAACCACATTTGCCACGTCCTTTACACCAACAGGGTCCCCAGGGGAGGCATTGTCATGGTCGCCTAGCGACGATCTTTCACCAGACTTTTTCCTGTCGTGAACGTCTTTGCTTACAGTTTGCGTGTTGAGTTTTAATGGAGCACACTTGATTGAGGATTGGCCGTCCTTTTGTGAATAATTATCAAGACTTACAGACTTGATTGGTTTAAGCTTGACGGT